AGGATAAATAGTTGATATCATGTCGACTATGGATACATTAGCAAATTAGAATACCACAGATTGATACCACTGAAGACATAGCAAATGTACACGTATGTTCTTGAAAATATCAGAGATGCACACATGCACCTGATATATATATATATATATATATATATATATATATATATATATATATATATATATATATATATATATATATATATATATATATATATATATATATATATATACATATACACACAGACAATCTGCCGTGTCAAGCAATCTGCAAGCTACTTGTATATATTTGATTAGAATTGGTCAGGTCAGGTTCACTGTATATTTTAATAAAAATCTTTAAAAAATTCAGCTAAATAACCTTACCTAACCTAGCCTATACACAACATGATGAAGTACAAGGTCCACTCACTAGCCTATAAACGCTCACGATGCCATAAAACGCCCATATGGCTTGAACATGCTCATGCTCCTATGAGGCTGGTCGGGCCTAAGGGCAAAATGTTTATAGTCTGTCACGGAGAACCATAAGATGAGGCAGACTCTCTGCTGTGCCACTTGATATCGAGTGACCCAGGACAATAATTTTGCTCCCATGCGGCACGACCACCATTCAGAATACAAAAAAAAACAGCCTAGGGCTTTGGAAACCCCACTAGTGATTGGTTAGTGGGCTGGCCCTGTGAATTACCAATAGGCTTTTTCGAAAAACAGAGCTCAACTTGGTCTGAGTAACTGCTGGGTGAAGACTCACTGAAATAGTGGGTGTGTGGCAATATCGGAAACAGGGCGAATCTTTGGTGAGAACTCTTAAGTTTATATCCTTTTACCTTACGAGAATATGTGTGTCCTTCTCTGGGTATGTAGTTAGAATAGGAATATGAGATTTAATCAATGTTATATGTCTTATTTCAAATAATAGGGTAGGTTACCCCACCTCCTAAAATGTCCTTATATTAAATATTACAATAACTAACTTGAGTTCATCCCCACACCTGATGGACAAGCTCTTCCCTCTCTTACGAAGATAGAACAAGAGTGAGATTATTAATATTTTAATATTCATACGGGTATTGAATACTTTATTCACTAAAACTAAATATCAAAATGTAAAACGCAAATCCACCTTGTGTTCAAATGAAAAGTAACATTTTTATTTTTATTTTACAGATTGCCTGATGTGATAGATTACCTGTAACACACGTGTGTGTGTGTGTGTGTGCGTGCGCGTGTGTGTGTGTGTGTTATGCTAAATAGTTATGATTCTCTAATAACAATAACTTTTATGTATATCTTGTTCTTTTTGAAAACTTCTGACTGACCATAAAAGATAATGTACAGTATATCATCATACAATAGTAAATATAAATCTGACTTCATAAAATACCTAATCTAACCAGACACCAACTTCACTAACTTAATCAAACCTTACCTAACCCACTTTAGCTATAATTGGTCTATCTTGTGTTAGTAAACGGCGTCTTAGATAAAACAGATCAAATTTTGTCTCATACGAGTTAATTTACAATAAGTTGTAGCAATAAAAGAAAGTTTACCTATTTGACAGAAAACTTCAGTGTCTTTTTTAGATTATTTGAAGGTTATTCCTATTTAGCTCGACATTTGTGTACAAATCTGGAAGCATCTTGTACTTGGAGGTATCAGAGACAGACATGTATGAACCGGAACATTCCAGGCATACATAACCTTGCAGAAACGAGGCGTAAATATACCTGAAGGTATCTTGTATAATGGACCTGACGGTATCTTGTATAATGGACATGAAGGTACGTATCTTTTATACGAGCCATTCAGTAGCAGGCACAAATATTCTTGGAGGTACCAGGTATGCATGCATGCCCCTTTGAAGATACCAGAATAATGAAACATGCAACTGCGGGAACCCCAGCTACATGCACCTAGTGGAACTAGGTGTTAATTTACCTAGTAATACCAATATATATGTACAGTACTTGGAAGTATCAAAGATGGCCACACAAACACTTAGAAATATGAGGTATCCAACCATACGACTAGAATAGGCAAAAACACACCAATCGGACAGGCACACATACACTTTGTGGCACTTGACACACAAGCATCTGGTGGTTTAGGGCAGCAAAAGTTGATACACAAACAGCTCCTGAAATATATATATATATATATATATATATATATATATATATATATATATATCATAAGCCTCTGGTATTATGCAGTGTGACCGGAAGTAACTTCTTTTCTTTTATTTAATAACTCCAAAATAAACTTTAAAACTGTATAGCCAAACCCAACATTAAGTAGTTCCGCTTAATACTCGTAAGTTAAGTTAGGTTGGTTTTCGGTGTTTCATCCTTTTCGGTTATTTTTACCTTTCGATTTTTGTTTTATAGATTAGATAAAGCTATGTTAAGTTACATCAAGTGAAAAGTTAGCGTTAGCTTACATTTGGTTGCCACTCTGTGATTTTTCCCGACTATAGAATATTTGGTTAAGATAATACATCCCAGGCCGGCTGCTACCAAGCCCCTGCTTCTACTCAGGTGGCAGCTGACGAGATCCTTCATTCCCATAGTAGGATGCTCGTCCAACATCTACGAGCTGACCTAAGAGTGCACTCATTCAGTTCATTTATTGTACAGTAGCTTACATGGTCATCACGAACACAGGATTAATCGAAGATCAATTTACAGACTGTATCGAAAAGGCATATCAGATAATGGGAATGCTGACCAAGATAAGGAAATCTCATAGGTTGACAATTCGTACTACAATACGTATATATTCTTCCCTAGTGATAATTCCTTATGGAAGGAATCCTGGTAAGATCATAAAATGATAATATTTTCCAGACATCTTCAAAGCGTTAAGAACAAAGCCCCGAGAAAGCTTACTAGGGGTGCCTTAGCAAGATTATGTCAATATTGTTATTATTATCCACTCTGTATCTGCATTTTTCTGGCCATATAAACTGTTCAATATCAATATCAGTCTGATGAGGTCACCTCCTCCACAAAGAAATTGGAAGCTGTGGTCTAAGTATCTGTAAGAACAAAAAGAAGGGGTAGACCACACACGACCTGGTTAAGATTTATGAAAAATGAAATAGGAAACAGCTAAGGTGGTGCATTAGAGGAGGCTCAAGAAAGCTTTGGTTGGTCGAACTTCTGTTTGTGGAGGCCCTTTCTGTCGCACGGATTATCGCAAAAAAAATCGAGAACAAGAAAAGTTGTCATCTTGTAAGGGAAATGGCAACATGCATGTGTCAGTCTCCTGCGCTATCTCAATGTTCTTACAGGAAACATGAGAAGGTTGCCAGGCTCAGTGTGCTACCCCAAGTCTGCGGAAATTCTTTTTATGCTACCAGAAGAATCAAAAGGGACAAAAATTGGAATCTGCGGGAAACTTTCTCCCTCGTGCAGTAATATGAGAAAAACTCTTCTTCAATAGTATGAGGAAAGGTGGGCATCAGGCTCATTAACGCAGCCATCACCCCTGTTTTTCTCTCTGCCATATAATGTAAAACTGTTCATTACAATACCTAATGTTTCATATACAATTTTTTTCCCTGGTAATGCATCTCTTTTCTCTTAATATCAACTATAAGTACACCTTTTTGGTGGCAGATATTGCCTTTAACATTTTCCACAAAATGTTGAAAGTATGTCATTTGTAACCACATGAAGATAATCATAATCTATGCGCTGTTGGGATCTATGATAAACAAGATTATTTTGTTAATCTAGAGAAACTGACCTATAAAAATTGGATTAGTACGAGTGATATTACTCCAGAGTAAAATAAGTGAAGGGTTAAGCATTTTGGAAGAAAGGATAAACAGTGGATAAATCAGATACTCAAATGGATCTTCGAAGCTATAATATCTCACAAAGATTATAGCTATCATATAGATAGAGGAAACTAAGGCGCTCAGAGAGCTAGAAAGTCTCAAGGCTGAAAATTGTGGAAAGACTTCACGCAGTAGACTATCAGTTCAGACTAGTATCGATAGAGACATGGCCTTCGGTATAATGCTAGAGGATGGGAAAGCACCCAGAAAAATGAATATATATTTACCGCTAAACACTGTATCAATAATCGGATTCACTTGCCTACACGTATCAACTCTTCGATGCACTCGCTGTTGAATGTCAAAGAAAAAATATGTATTGCATATACGCACACACACACACACACACACACACACACACACACACACACACACCGATACACACACACACACACACACACACACACACACAGACACACACACACACACACACTGGAGCTCCATTGTTTCCCTATTCCTGTGTGATATATATATATATATATATATATATATATATATATATATATATATATATATATATATATATATTTATATATATATGTTTCTGTGTGTGTCTGTGTGTGCGAGCTAAATAGGCATAACCGCAGAATAAACTTTCAAAAACAACTGATATTTTTGTCTGTTATGGTTAACTTATTGTTTTTATTGCTATAACTTAATGGTAAATAATTTGTGAATGGTAAAATTTATCGTTTCATATAAGACGTCGTTTACCATCATAAAATATGTTAGGTTCGTTAGGTTTTCTTAAAGGCTTCTTATGAAACTATTCATTAACATGTATTATTTAGATCTACATAATCATATATGGCCAGTCAAATGTAAATAAAAATACAAAGTTATCGCTATTAGACAATTATTCATATTTAGCGTAACGCACGCACAGACACAGACATACATGCAGACAGACAGACAGACGCACACACACACACACACACATATATATATATATATATATATATATATATATATATATATATATATATATATATATATATATATATATATATATATATATATATATATATATATATATATATATATATATATATATATATATATATATATATATATATATATATATATATATATATATATATATATATATATATATATATATATATATATATATATATATATATATATCGTTTATTATTTGTTATATTTTTTTCATTTGATGATTGCATTATCTATAAAACAGTGCAGTACTGCCAAGTTAGGCATAACAATGGCACAAGTTGACCAATGTATATAGCGAGTAAGACACCTGACACTGACACACGTCATGAGTCGAAATGAATCCTCTTACTCGTGATCCTATCATTTCCAGCCTTCTTAGTATCACGGCATGAGGCAACAAGTGATCTGGCCTATTGGCCTGTACGTATTCTCAATCGTTAAGCATTCACATCTTTCTTGCTCTTTCATATCATGTTTTGATTTCAATCATTAACTGCACTTAAGTTTAGAACACAACTTCAGCTAGTTTGTTTATAGACTCTTTTTATTATATTGAACATGGAGACTGGACAGTGAAGGTTTGGTATATTGAATAAGGGACTCACTATTTTGGACAATTAATATGTGATCACGTGTTGGTTGGGTATTTTAATACAATCGTGCATGATAAGGCCGGCGGTTTAGGCTGAATACCTTATGTTCTCACGCACACTCACACTGCATAACAGTAACGTATAACAATGGCAACATGCACAGCAATATCATCATTAATGGGCACTTAAACACTAACAACTGATTATGATACAACAACACTTACAGTACATAAAGCTCTCTGTCATGAAGCAACGAGTTGAACTTTACTCTCATAAGGAGTACATAGTTGTATACTTCATATTATAGACATATTATACATCATACTGTACTAGACTTTAGATTTTAGAAGAAAAGAATGAGTTAAACATTTTACATTCTTCTAATAACAACTCTTGGTCACCAGACGTTGTTTACATGAACTTGTAAACTGAACTCTCCCCTAAAATTGAATATTCACTTGGAGGGTCTTATCATTTCCTAATAGGAAACTGATATACAAAAATATGTTATTGAGAGTGAATATTACTATTATGCGCGTCAACATCACACCATCAACATTTTACGCATCTCTTACGCATATATTACATAGGAAAAAAAAAATAGTGGAACGAAAGTTCTGATAATGACAATAATAAGTATAAAGAAATTAATTTTAAGCTCATACAATTACACGCATATTAACACTGGTGTAGATAATGGTCATACTGAATCGCCTCTGACAATGTGCGAACGACTCTACAATATTAAGTAAGGAAGATAAAAGCTGCTGTGAAGGAGGCATCTGCTCCTCCATATAAATTTTGCATGAAGCAATAACATCCTTAACATCACACGTATGTCTTAACTTAAATTTTGTATGAAGCAATAACATCCTTAACATCACACGTATGTCTTAACCCTTAGATATGTTCTCGAGATATCATTCATTAATAGTTTGTGCTCCCCATAACTATTGCTTTTATTCATCCCTTTTCATTCTTCTTTAATAAGCGTAAACACAATACCTTACATAGTCCAGTGAAATGCTGATTACTTCATATTTGCATTGTACCTTCAAGTCCACAAGATAAATAGAAGTAATTGATGACCCTAAAAGGTGTTTGTGACAATGTTGGACAGAAAAGGGTATAACGAGAGAACAGCAGTTGGTGACACTCATCACCCATTGTTTTCCATAACATATTTATATCATCAGCAAGAAAATAGCAATAGTAGTGTTTACTTCACATTTATCCTGTTGGAATTACAACTTGGTCGGCTTTTAAGTCCTTCTTGGCTGAAAGTAAACTTCAGCTCACTTCGGTACGTAGCTGCTGCCCCACGCTTTAACAGCACTATAATACCCTAGTGATGTCCGTAGCTGCTGCCCTACACGTCTAATCTGTGAAGAGAAACCATCGTTTAATATTGACTCTAAAATGCAGCTTTCTTACTGACTTAACCAAATGTATAATGTTGAAGAAAATTGGATATTGTTTGATAATTTACTTTACATAAATTAAGTTACATGATTTTACTTTGATAAGAACGGTTTTTTGAAAGAAATCAGTTTTTGAAGTACATCAATAATTTTCTTATCTTTCATATTACATTTAGATAAATATTTTCATTGGCGTATAATTGGTATAAGCCTACAGTTCTTTTCGCAGTTGTGAGATTTTTGTCCCTGCAGTCTTGGCTAATCGTTCAGACAACTTGACCTATTAACCGTTCACAACATTTACCCAGTTTAGAGTTATGTGTGATCGCAGATACTGTATACTGAAAATATTCAATATTTTTTATATTGATTTATGTGAATCAGTTATGGCCATGCTACTGACATTATCTGCAACTAGAGCAGGATATTGTTCTAACATGGGAGGCCAGAATCCTCAGTATTTCGGAAGACTTACATATTATAATGTTAATACTTAACTCACACTAAAATTTGTATCAACTGTATGAGATACATCCCACTTCTACATTATGAAGGATAGCTACTTGTCTTGTGTGATAACCTTCGGATAACGACTCGAAATGTTTTAAGCAGGCTAAAATGTCTTAATACTCCTGAATAGTGTTATGAAAAGAGATTTAGATCTGGATATACAGGTCTAAAGCCTTTGACCAGAATGGAAATAAGTAAAATCTATTCATACTGTAAGGTCCTGCATTACACTCTTTAGTTGGAGAGCAACTTGATGCATTTATAACTTTACACAGTTTTCCATTATGGTATAGCAATAATCTCTATTATTTCCCTTGACTCTTGGTAATTAAACAATCCTTTTATTTTTCAACCTATGGCCTTTATCATTCTTTACTGTTTTCTCCAGCCGCTCTCATGCCCACAACAAATTAATATGTCATCCACATCGTCATTCTACTCAGTTTTCACAATATCATCACTTTTTCACCACATATCCTCTCGTTCCTCTTTTCTAGAGTAGGTACAAACTTTTATATGATAAACTCTTGTTCTTATCCTTCTTAAATTTCCTCGCAGATCATTTGTTCCATTTTATAAATTCTCTCCGATACGACAACAATCATTCCATCACAATTTTTTTCTCATGATTTTTATATCATTCACTAACGTTCTTTGTACGTGTTCTTACACTCAACCAGATTTTTTCTACGATTTATTTCTTTGGACAGCCTCTCATCTTTAGCTGCAGCCTTGTCCATGTTACACTATATATAGATAATTGCCGATTATCGCTTAATTAATTTATTTATGTCTTCTGATTAGCTATTGAGTCTAGAGACTCGAGAGTACTAGACGATCATATGGGTAACTATAATATATATTAATGAATACCTTCAAGTATAACTTGACCTTACCTAACCAAGGCTAAATATAATTTACAAATTTTACCATATTGGAATTAATTTACATTGAGTTATAACAATAGCAACAGAAAGTTATCCATATTTAATGGAAACGTCAGTTGTGCCTTAAAGCTTAATCGGCGATTATCCCTATTTAGCGTGACGTCAACAACCAAGCCCTCGCTTTCTCTTCCAAATATTACAACATGTTATCCGACCCTGATTCCCGTTCCCTGTACCTCACTCACTTTCAACCTTATTATTCATAAATAATCAGATTCTATACATAATTTCAAAACATCGCAATTTAACTTCAACCGAAGTAAAATGTGTTTCTCAGGCTTCCAACTGCAATTCTACGAGTCTTACATTTGCCTAGCTACTCCTCTCTCACCCATGCAACAACATATTAATTTACTGTATATATGACATTCTGTTAACTGACTGTTATTGCCTATATCCGCTAAGGATGCGTTTAACCAATGATTCTCTTGTAACTTATATGTTAGTTGGTTTCAACTTGTCATCTTATATCACGCTGTTCAATAAGGTCATCTCCTGGTCACATAAAAAAGTATGAACATAAGAATGGAGGAAAATGCAACAGGCCTAATGGCCCATACTGGGCAGTCACGTTTACGCCAAACCCCTGTCGCTCATATATCCATCCAACCTATATTTGAAGGTATCCAGCGTATTCGAGTTAATAGTGATGTTTGGTAACTTGCTCCACTCATCCACTATTCTATTTCCAAACCAGTGTTTACCTATCTCTTCCTAAATCTAAATTTGTCTAATTTAAAACTATTGCTACGAGTTCGCTCCTGGTTGGAAAGTTTGAATCGTTTTGTAATGCCACCTCTGTTTAACCGTGACTTCCATTTATACACCCCGATCATATCGCCCCTCATTCTACGTCTCTCGAGGGAGTGCAAATTAAGATGCTTTAACCTGTCTCTGTACTCAAGGTTCTTAATGCCCGGGATTAGTTTTGTTATTCTCCATTGAATTTTTTCTAGAGATTCTATATCCATTCTGTAATACGGTGACCAGAACTGAACTGCATGATCCAAGTGAGGTTTCACAAGCACAACATGTACTTTCAGGATAACCTCACTAGTCTTGTAACTAACACTCCTTTGTATGAACCCAAGTACTTTGTTAGCCTTGTTTCGAGCAAATACGCATTGTTGACTTGGTTTAAGACTCATACTTATCATTACTCCTAAATCTTCTATAAGCAAAAGTTTATTTATATATTGCAGTAGTTTTACGGAGTCCTCGTCAGATTTAATTCCACACCCTATTTTAGTGTCAACAGCAAATTTACTTATGTTGCTCTCTGCGCCTATATATAAGTCGTTATGTATATAATAAATAGTAATGATCCAAGTACCGAGCCTTGGGGTACTCCACTAGTGACGTTACTCCAATTGAATTAAGCGCTTTTAATGCTTACTCGCTGTTTTCTGTGCTGTAACCACGCCCTAATCCATATTAGAATATCTCTTCCAATTCCATGAGCCTCTACTTTTATTTTTTATTTTTCGCAGGGGACTTTGTCGAAGGCTTTGCTAAAATCGAGGTATACCACATCATAATCGTGCCCATCATCCACTGATTCAAAAACAGTTGAAAAGAATGTTAATATATTAGTCAGACATCAACGCCCACTTGTTAAGCCATGTTGGGAATCATTGATCAACTTGTGCTTCTCCAGATGATTTGGAATAGAGTTTGAATTTATTGCTTCCAGCAATTTGCCTACAATTGATGGTAAACTGATTGAATGGTCGTTAGATGGTAGTGATCTATCTCCCTTCTTGAAAATCAGTATCACATTCGCTAACCTCCAGGATTCTGGTACTACACCCGTTTTTAATGACATGTTAAATAAATTTGCTAAGGGCATACTAAGCTCTTCCTTATATTCCCTAAATACTCTGGCAAATATTACATCGGGACCTGGTGATTTATTAGGCTTTAGTTTGTCTATTTGCTTACTAACATCGTTACTAGTCACTACTATCTCTCATAAGCTGTTTTCTTCACTATCTCTGTTTATACAGTAGTCGGCGCCTCGGGTATCACGTTTAAATTTTCTGTGATAAAAACTTTGGAAAAATATCTGTTCAGATTATTGCTCGTTTCCCCATTGTTATCAGTTAGCTCGCCTGTATCTGACCGTATTGGTCCAATCTTGTCTGGTGTTTTAGTTTGATACATTTAGAAGAATCCCTTGGGGTTTGACTTCGCCTCCCTTGGTACCTTCAGTTCATTATTCCTCTTTGCTTTTCTTATCTCGATCTTAACCCTACTGGCCAATACCTATAATAATCTCGAATGTAAACTTCACCATGTTTTATTCTTCTACCTATAGCCTTCCTTTATACATAATATACAATAATATTCGTTTTATAATTGTTTATCCATTTGGGATCATTGTTATTTGATCTGAATTTCTGTATGGTAAGTTCTGCCTTTGTGCATTAAGTAATTCATTATTTAAATTGTTGTGGAACTCATCAACCTCAGATCTTGTGATCAGGTCATCCTCAACCGTCCTATTTTGTGAGGTTATCGTTGTCAGGTCTCCAGGTATAGTGAGGTCGCCTCCTGTGGGTACATTGTGTGAGGTCAAGTAATTCACCCTCAAACGTAATACCCCTTCTCTCAGCTGTCTTTTCAACCTATCAAAGTTTGCCCTTCTGAAATCTGAGACTCTATTGGAATTTTACTTGCTACTGACATTAAGTTCAACTTTGAATCTCACTTGTTTGTGATCGCTGTTAGCGAGTTCGTTCCCTACCTCTATACTACTAATGAGGTTTTCTCCGTTTGACAAAACTAAATCGAGTATATTACCCCGGTGTGGGTTCGGCTATATGTTGACTAAGGAAACAGTCCTGAACTGCTTCAAGACAATCCTCTGATTCTAAGGTACCCTTAAGGTCGGTCCAATCTATACAGACTTTGCTATGTCTGGATGCCCTGCGTATTTCATCCCAAATAAGTCGCTCATTAACTCTATCGAGATTAGGAAGTCTATATATTACTCCTGTGATTATTTTTTCCCTACCATCGATTAATTCTATCAAAATTGTTTCTGTATGCAGTTCAGTTTTTTGTCCTTATATATTTCACACTTCAAATTATCCCTGACATAGATTGCTACCCCTCCTCCTTTCCTAATCTGCCTATTGGTATGGAATAATTTGTACCCCTTAATTTGGTATTCGACAGGTAACTCAAGTTAGTCTACGTTTATCCAAGTTTCGGTGATTGCTATTATATCGATTTTTTCGGTACATACCAACGCCCTGATTTCATCCATTTTGTTTCTCATATTTCTCCTATTTGATTTGTAGATATTTAAGTTAGTTATGATCTGAGTCCTCTCTTTGTCGCGTTTAGGTTTTAACTCCCTGCCTAATTTAGTTTTGTCATCATTCCCAGCACTATTTCTCTGTAACTTTTCATTTTGTTTATCCGCTCCCACTGCAGTCTCCTCGATCTCCTGGTCACATGTTCCCCTCGCAGTTTAAAGACCTTGAAAAGTTTTGAACTGGCTCTCGAGAGAGCCAGCCAGAGTTGCCAACCCATCCCTAGACAGATGTACCCCATCCCTAGCATAAAAGTCCCTTCTGCCCTAAAAGTTGCAATATCTGTCAAGACGATCATTCATTGCCACCTCTCCTTCTTGGCAGGACACCACATATGATAGGGATCCTTCCCTTCACCCTAATACATTCGATAGCTGTCTTGGATTTATCAAGGAACTCCTCACTCCTACACCGGCCACTATCATTGCCTCCTACACTGAGGCAGATAAATAGATTTGTTCCCATTACCAGACAAGATATTGTCCATCCTGTCAACTATATCCCCCACCTGAGCTCCTGGCAAACACACTCTAGTAAGGTCAGAACACGTGTGTTGTTGATGTAAAGTGTGTCTGAGCGTCAGCTAGTGTCTCTGTTACAAAGTCCTACAGAGGGTGGGGAAGAAGGTGGAAAGGGTGCTTTCTCTTACGCTTACTTTTTTTTTGACCATCGACCTTCTTAGCATTCCAGAAAATGTGCACTTTGGCTGCTTCCGATACCCTAGACGCTATTAATATTGTCAACAATATGTACCCATCAGCCGGCATTGCTTGGAGGATAACAAATATACCTGGCGTGAGTGTGTCCTTGCGCCAGCAGTCTCAATACGATAATGCGTGAGTGGACCACCTTGCTGCTTCCACTTTCAGAGTAACCATGCTGCTTCTTCGAAACATTTTGACCAATATAAGTTTGAGAGGGAGACCATGGCCATCAGGGTCGCTCGCTCTGGTGACACCTAAGAAACCGTCTTGACTTTTCACTGCAGCACTCTGCTAAACCAACAATACCGTACGACCGCGTCCCCATCAGTATCGTCAACATTAGTGCACCCTCAAAGCTTGCGACCTGCAGCTGGATAACTGTATGTAGAATGCCCCTGACCGAGTGTGTAGGTAAGAAAGAGCAACCGTAGTGGGGATTCTCGACAGGGGAATCCTCTCTTCAAGGCTCTAACTTCGATATTACAGAAGACCCTCCTTGCGCCGTCTGAAAACGGTATAGTGGACCTTGTGCCGGCATTGATTGGCACAACCAGTTCAGCAACTCCTGGGTTGTAACTAGTCGGCAATTCTGCTCCAGGGAGCATGGACCAGCACCAGCATGCAGTGATGCTTCAGCAACTTCATTGGCAGCACCAACTATCCTGACCTCCTTGGAGGCAAAAGAACCAACAGAGGATGACAATAAAGTTTTGAAGAGCCGTGTACCATTGGGGCGCCACAAGAACACCGTCGATGCTGTTGCCTCTATGCAGGTTACAGCAAATGTAATGAGACTGTGTCCTTGACCATGGATCACGCTCCCTCTCAGAAGAAAGTCCCAACTGATGGATTAAATGAGAGAAGTTCTGCCTGTGGTGGGGCAGCCTCCAAAGACTGGGTCTTTGGTATCCCAGGAAATATGTACAGTAAGTCCTGGATTGGGAGGAACTTGATCTGCATTCCAGGTTCATCCTGTAAGGCTCTGAAACCTACAAGTGCATACTCTGGAAATAGCTCTACTAACAGCAATCTGGGCAGCACAAGAAGTCCTAGTGTTCGCAACTCTCCTACAGTGGAACTGTAGGGCCAACTGGGAGGAGCTGCAACTTCTTGCCAAATTCTCCCCAGTGTGTGTATTTGCCTGCAGGAAATGATGGTGGTGAAAGCCATAGTTTCCTCCGTAAAGAGTTACATCTACTTTGGCTTGCGCTCCCTGTCAGGCCCAGTAGAGAGGGGGAAGCATTATGGCGGGTGTGCGATGTACATTCGCTTCGAAGTTCCCTTTTGACAGTTAAAAATTAGATCTTCTCTTTATTTTGTTGCTGTATAGGTCCATGTGGAGAGGATATTCACAAACTGTTCTTTATTTCTCCCACCTAATTATTTTCGTTGCTTATGAAAATTTGGAAGAGCTTATCAATCAACTCCCTCGTCCATTATTTTTACTGGTTTACCTCAATAGTCAACATCCTCTCTGGGGGGACACTTCGTCCGACCCGAGTGGTAACATTGTTATTATGCGGGAGTTTTCATTACTAGTAACCCCACCCATTTCCACTTAAAGACCTGCTCTTTCACGGCAATCAGTTCTTCTATTGGCTCGCCAGATTCCATATTAAAGTTTCAGTGGGAAGTGTTCGATGACCTTCATGTTAGTGATCATTTACCACTCATTCTTCGCTGCTCAATTCGAGGTCCACCTTGTTCACGTGTACCTTGATGGAGCTTGGACTGGGCAGATTGGACCCGGTTTAGAGACTAAGACAAGAAATCGGTGACCATAGATGAGTTTACATCCGCAGGCGTGGCTAATGACATACTGGCAGTTATTCTCCATAGAAGACCTCTGAAATCAATTCCACGAATTGCTGGAACATTCTTCAGACGACCTGTGCTTTGGTGATCTTCGGACCGTTCAAAGGAACAGAAGATTGTGAGAGCTGTACTGACAAGATACCGTCAGTACAAATGCCACCATTCCCAAGTCGAGTTTCGGCAGGACCGAGCTTGGTGAAGGTCATGGAAGAGAGTCCACAAGATTACTGGAAAATTTTCACCCAATCCTTCATCGTTCTAGAAAGTGGATGAGGATGTTGTGATAGAGCCTGCAGTTATCGGCATTGAGATAAAAGAGGAATTTTTCACTGTCTCCCGGATAGTTGAAGATACTCTCTCTGCTCAGCTCAGATGTTCATAGGAATCAAATGCTTTAGACTTTTCGTCAGGTGGAGGGAAAACTTACAATCTCCCCCTTAACCTGTAGGAGATCAAAGCTGCCCAAGACTCGTGCAGTGATACACCTCTTGTCGTAGACAATGTTCCATACACAATGACCCACCATTCTTCTGTTTTAAGTCAAGTCTTCGTGATTAATAGCTTCAAAGAATATGACTAGGTTAGGTTATTGTCCCCTAGCCTGTTTAAGTTGTTTTAGAAGATGATGAACGTGAGGTTGGTTTGTTTCCTGGATTGTGGCGATTTATATCCTAGTAAAGATTCCGGAGCATATGCTCCGCTCCTGACGCCTTAATTCGGCTGAAGTCGTGCGAAGCGGGAGCGTGCAACTTTTTCGACCTAAAAATTGTATAAGATACCGCTTGGAAGCATTGGATTCTTAACTCCATGAGTTTGGGTTACGAGGGAGTATGGCTCATTTATTAGCGTCGTATCTCGCTGATCGCGATTTATGAGTTCGGGTAGTAACAATTTTCTGCTCTGAAGGACCAGGATGAGGGTGCCCCACTGTGTAGTGTGATTAGCATTACCTTGTTCTCTGATTACTCTTTCTCTGTATCGAAGATGTTGATGGCGGAGTCATCACATTCAGTTGCCGTTTGATCATCTATGTCAGTAGACAGAGTGCCGTGGTTTCTGTTTTTCCCACGAAAGCTGTGCCAATGCACTTTTGTTACCTACGGGGCCTCCATCGGGTTTCAGGTCTATTTCTATACGAATACACCATTCCGTGTGTAAATAAGACGTGTTTCCTGGAGTTGATCTTTGATAGGAAATTCATCTGGATTTCCTATCTTCGGTGTTTCAAGATTACGTGCCACAGTGCACTGGATGTCCTCCTGGTGTTAGCTCATACTTCTTAGGACTCTGTTTGTGCTACCTTTCTTCACTGACACAAGGTGTTAGAGGTTTACTCATCGACAACACCGACGTGCTTAAAGACATTAGATGTCATCCACCACATGGGTACTCGTCTGGCCACTGGGGCATTTAAGACTTCACCTACCAAGAGCCTCTTGTCTTATGCTGTGGAGGTGCCTTTGGAACTGTGATGCTAGTCACGGATAATTCAGTACTGGTACTGCATCCAGAGGCTCCCATCATTCTCCAACGAATGCATGTGTATTGAGGAGACCGGACTCACGTGGTGGTGAGTATTCCCCATCTCTCTCGCTCACAAGATTGTCATTGAAGTATCCGGTAGTCGCCTCTTGAACTACACCGAGACAAAAGCTAAATATCAGAACATATGCTACGTCTAATACTTTTAGAGCATGCATCTCAGCATGCGAACTCGCTTCTTATCTTCACTGGAGGCTCCAAATATGATACTGGCGTTGGACTTGGAGTAGTCTTCCCAGCCTTTTCTTGAAGGGCTGTCAAACTTACTGCTGCTTCAATTTTTAATTCTGAATTGTCAGCAATTCTTCTGACCTTGAAGGTGAAAAGTGCTCATGAAAATTATTATTTGTTTTATTTTTAATGATCCAATGTGTACCCTTGAGGCTCTCGAGTCTTTTAACCCACTTTACCCTTTAATTCTGTCGATACTGGAATGGCTCTTCCTTATGAGGCGACATGGACATCAGATCAGTTCGTGCTGGGAGGTATCGGCACATGTAAATGTGTTGGGTAATGAGTAGGCAACCCCTGTACTTCTAACACTACCTTCTTCGGTTATGTGTCTCAGGATTAGAACGCCACATGTAATGCTTGGTAGTAGTATTAGGATGTCATTGTTGGTCCAAACAAGCTCCGGGAGATTGCAAAACAGATACGCCCCTGGACGTATCCCTGAATGCCACGGAGGTGAGAGAATGCCCTCGCCAGGGTTCACCTTGGCCACTTTAGGCTGATACATGTCTTATCCCCTTGAATCTAAGGCACTTGCTGCTCGAGTGTCCCAGTTTGGATGAAGGTAGGAGGCGGTATCTCTTCAGGGTTATTGGAGATGGTAATTACCTCCTACTATATATTTAGTCCTCGGAGCAAATGTGTCATTTCCAAGGAATGGAAGGTTTAACTTTATTGAGGAAGCTGGCCTCCAACATATACAGTTATGTTTATAACATTTTGATAATTGTTACATTTATGACTGTGCCTTATATATTGCTTTATGTTTTTATATATTTCATTAAAGTTATTTTACATTACCAGATGTACTATGTCGTACCTGCCAGCTACTCCCCAAATTCTGCGCGGTCTGGCTCCTGCAGTTGATACCATCGTGCCTGCTCATCCATCAGTGTTGAATCTGTAATTATATCACAATAATGTGTCCAAAATCTCTTTTTTTTTAATTAATATTTCACAAAAAAGTTTCCTAAGCCCTGTATAACAAGAATTATTATTTCAAATCAACACTAAATTTCTTAATTGCTCAATGGTGTACTCCAATGGCAAACACGACCATTATATCTGAAGTCTGAATTATGAAGAAGTAGAATAATAAGTAACTTGAATTATCTAACAATGCTTGTGGCTGTCGGTAATGCTGTGGGAGTTTGGTCAAAAGCTAAAAAAGTGTCTTTAGAGTTTCCAGCGTGTCTCCTATTATGAAGAGTCCATAAGTAAAAATGTGAATACAGTATACCGTAATATATGCCTTCTATGTGCATAAAGGCAGCGTGTCCAGCAATGCACACGATCACCTAAACTTGCCCAATTATTTAGTTAGGTACTGTGCACATTTATATTTGGGAGGAGTGAAAGAGCCAAAGAATCAAACCGGCGACCCTAAGGAGTGGAGGCGGGCGTTGTACCTGCTCTGCCGTCGCATTGCTATTATATTAAAAACATAATAAAAATCATACCTCTTGTGATTTCTCTCCCCCACTTTGTTCTATGATTTCTAGCTTCCTCGAGAACCGATCCATGGCAGTTGTTGTCAAGAGATCGATCTATAGCTCTTTCTCTACCAATAGTGGTGTTCCACAGGGTTCTGTTCTTTCACCTACTCTCTTCCTTCTTTTTATCAATGATTTTCTTCACACTACGACTAATTCTATCCATTCTTACGCTGATGATTCTACACTTCACTCTTCTTCACATTTTTCCCTTACCCCTAATTCTCAAACTAGATCTGTTTCTAGAGCTGATATAATTTCATCTATCAATGCGGATCTGGGGGACCGGTGGTAGAAGCGGTACCGCTCTTGCCTCGCAAGCAAGATGTCACGGGTTCGATTCCCGAGCCGGTGGAAGTTGTTTGGACATACTTCCTAGCCCCCATTAGTCCCTGTTCACCTAGCAGTAAAGTAGGTACCTGTTGTAAGTTGAAAGTTGCGAATTCGTGTTCAGGGAAAGTTGTTGGAGCTTCCAATAACTTGATGACATAAACCATTGACTCTTCAGGCTTCTACGCCCTTGACTCTTCAGGCTTCTACGCCCTTAGCTCATGAGACGTAAACGCAAGCATGAACTTAGTATGCTTCCCTGTTGTGCGCTGTAAACGCTTCTGCGCTTCACCTTACACAAGGATGTAGGGGGGTGCCCAATAAAAAAAAATGCGGATCTGTGCAGCATCTCCGAATGGGGAGGTAGAAACATGGTTAAATTCAAAAGTAATGAAACTCAGTATTAACCAATTACACTTTCCAGATTAGATGATTCCCCACCAATCACATTTCAGGACGCAAATTCCGAATTCTAAAATACTCGTAGATATGCTAGGCCTCACCATTTCCTCTAAATTGTCATGGAAACCACACATCCACAACAATTCTAAAGCTGCCTCCTGAAAGCTGAGAAGCAGCTACGGCATCTGTTGATGCAGTACCTGCTTCATTCCTGAGCAGTTGTTACAAGTTCATAGGGGATTCATTCGTCCTAACTTGGAGTACTGCTCTCATATCTGGGATGGCTCTTCTGTCCAACTGTTAGATAGGGAGGAATCAAAGGCATTTCGCCTTATTGACTCTCCTCCATTAGTTGATAATCTCTCTTCCCTTTCTCTTCGCCGCAATTTTGCTTTACTCTCTCTCTTTTACAGGTACTTTAACGGGCATTGTTCGGTGGATTTGGCATCCTGTGTACCGCTGGCAAAGCCGTGGGCTCGTAACACTCGTCTTACCCGCGGTGTTCACCGTTTCTCTGTGGTTGTCAGTCACACTAGAATAACCCGTTATAGTACTTTCTTCTTTACTCACACAGCCAAACTGTGGAATGCTCTGCCTTCTTCTGTGTTTCCATACTCATACAATCTGTCTCACTTCTAAAAGCTGGTTTTCCGACATCTTCGTGGTGTAGAAAATATAATTTTTTCTTGTCTATTTAAAATTTCTTTTTACTCTTATTTTTTCGCCCGCTAGACCCCATTTTGGGTCGATGACCTTTACCCGGGTGGGCTATTCCCCGTAAGAAAAAAAAGAGGATGAAAATTCTGTAGGTACCATGAAAAACGCATGCCAAAGAGCATATGAGTTCCGGAAGTGGGAAGAGTTGTAGACTAAATTTCCTGGACACTTGGGAGTATTTGGCATATAAGTACTTGGGGATATTTAAGTTAGGTGAGAAGGTGTTGGAATTTCAATATATTTTCTTCGAATAGTCTTTGTATTAAGGAGTGCTTTTTCCATTTTGTTGGTCCATATAATTATCTGGAAACCATATATTAGTATTGTGATGAAAAGCAGCATTATTAAATACAAACCAACTATAAAGATGAACTGTACATAGCGATTGATCCATTTGTGTGTGTGTGTGTGTGTGTGTGTGTGTGTGTGTGTGTGTGTGTGTGTTTAATTGGCACTTACCTGACAAGTTCAACACAACCTCCCCAAGGAATTCATTAGGTTTGTTTGCTTGAAAATTCCAGGCAGTGACCTCCAGGTGACGTTTGGCAAGGTCGCCGGGTTGGAGGTTAGGGTACACCATGGTCTGGTTCCAGTCCGGGCTGCTGGTGCAGCTCAAGAACCGGGTCCGCCGCTGGTTCTCAACGCTGATTGCAAAAAACAACACCAGGTAGATGCAAATATTGGACTCAGTTCACCAAGGGAATGCGGGACACAACGCGAATAATATTTGGAGTGGTAATATTATGTTTAGAATATGGTGAAACTATCATTGTCATATAAATGACGAAGTATGACAGACTGCTAATGATTGAAATAAAAATAATAATTTTAACTACCTTGTCACTTCAGTATGTATATTAATTATATAATCTAGTGCCAAGTATAAAACCACATGTTGACTGGTGAATTCAATTAAAAACTGGGTCCCCAGAGAGATACAAAGCCTTTGAGGATTGTACGTTTAGAACGGAGGACTGTGATCGCAGACCTTCAGATATGAGGACAGCACCCTGATTGATTGAGAGTTTGATATGCTAGATGCTTCGATAATCCGACATATGTCCAGATATGAAAGGCATGGAAAAACTTGAGGAAGTGAAAGGTAGACAGAGTAGCCATAAGGGAGAAGGAGGAAGTGAGGTACGGCAGCAGGTAAAGCGGTAAGGTTGTAGGCTGGGATCTCTTATGGCTGGTGCATCGCCTTGTAGTTGCAGAACTAAATCCCCTCATATTTAGTTTAACAAAATACTTTATTACTTTCGATACATGGGATGGATACATTATCATGCCTAGGTTTTGATTTTCTTCCCATGGGCTGCTGTTCACCTGGTTTCTACCTCAGGTTGCGTAACAGTTGAAAACGGCTCCAATTTTCACATCTCCCTTAATTGAAACTGAGACTATTTTAGTAATGGTGCAATTAAATATATGTTCAAGTAGAATATATAGTACATAATTTGTTGCTAGATGTAGTGTCAGAAACGAGAAACACAAACCTTCGTCCTGGTAAGAGGTAGACCTTAACGAAGGGGTCAGGACGGGTGTCGCCATCGTCACGTACAGTGTAAAGTGACCGTGCCCTCAGTACTGTCACGTACAGTATACCTGCACGGGAGTCATAGCACACCTGCAGTTGCACCTCACCCATCTGTTGCTCACTGTTGGCCTTTGACGGTCCCGTCCCCGACACCTGTTGCCCATAACCAAATCATCATACAGGAAGTATTTTATCATGCACAAATGCACAATGAAACTGGTATTGCTTTTATTAATTCTTCTCATTATGGGATGCCCAAAACGAAACAAATATAAATTTTGGTAACAGCATAATAGAACTGTGTTAGTACCGCACTTGTTGACATGACTTCAGAACTGGGTAGCCTTACACCATCATCAAAAGAACAATCCTTAATTTAAGCCTAAGGGGAGGATGTGAGAGACGCTCCAGATAAATGCACTTTAGAACTATTATGATCACGAATGACAAGATCACCTGAAATGTGAATGACTTTCTATAATTATATGATTTATGAGAAGGGGCCATGCCTGAGTGTCAGGGTTTGTGGAGTGAAGAAGAACTTGACCACTCGGTTCTAACAGACATGAAGGAGCAAATAAAGAGTATATTGTGTAGGAATACTGTATACTGTCAGTAAAGTCAGGTAAAGCTGGTTTATGATATAACTATATCCTAAATGAAAACTTCTATTCCATTATATTATATCAAAATAATACACATAGATATACAACAATTACACAACACCCAAATTGCTGTACCTTAACGTTATTCCTAGAGTTTGGTCGGCGGCGGTTGGCAGCAGTGTTGTGGTGACGTGGTGGGCTGGACACAGCACCGTCTGGTCCGCTCCGCTCTGGCAACACTTGAGATCCAACTCCACCAGACACTACAGCACCTACTTGAGATAGTACTTGAGAGGGAAGCTGGACGAAAGTGAGCAATTGAGTCAAGTATACAGTACTACAGCATTGACATTTGTAATACTGTTGTTACATAAATTAATCAAGAGAACTTAATATGTGCCATAAACACTCTGTGCATTTACTAGCATCTGAATGTTGGATCATATCCTTGTGGTCATATTTTTTTCAATAAATGAATTAACGTAGCTATCAACCTTTATAATACTTACTGTACATATCGATTGATCACACTTCATTAAAGAAGTTTGAAATAAAACAATTTTTACAAGCAAATAATTAACAGCGTCTATTAAGAAGAGTAAGTACAATAAAACAATTATCATGCTTGAGATATACAGCTTATGGCAATAAATATATACAAGAGGTTTTTCTTTACCATTTGGACTATGACGCTCCGTAGGTGATTGTGACTGTGATGGAGAGCCTCTTTGAGATGCGGAATTTAATACTGGCAGACCTTCGTCATGAAGCTGGTGCAAGTCATGATCTGCTACTTCCTCTAGGACAGGACTAGTTTGTGATCTTCCATGCATCTCAGGGCTGACCCCATGATGTACGGGCCTCGACGTCGACCGAACGCGGGTTCTGTCCGTCTTTGGTGAATTCCCCATCTTCCCATTCATTGTGGCATCGCCATCTCTTTCACCAAATCTATTTTCATTTATATAAATGTTTTCCTGTGAGTTATTACGATTAGAATTATATACAGGACAATCAAAGTTGGAGCGATTCCCATTAATATCGAGTGGATCATCAGGAATTGGGTTAGGTCTTCGCCGAGGACTTTGGTAGCAGGGGCTGGTGTAGGTCACAGAGGAGCCATGGTATCCACCACTTCTGCTGCTGGCTCCTGCCATACGCTCTCCCGTGATCATATTGATGTCACTAATAACGTAACATGAAAAATAAATTATTTAGCACCAGCGAGTAAATTTTGTAGTATTCTATGTATCCTATGTATACAATAGTAGAGATAATTACCGATTTGCGATAACATCTGTGTATTTAAGTTTTAGGAAACTTTTGATAGGCCTTAAATGATCATGTAAATCATAACAATACATATGAATGAATAGCTTCATACAAAACCTAACCTAACCTAACCTAACATAACCTAACTTAACCTAACCTACCTAATCTTACCTAATTTGCTTTAGGCATAATTTTTATCTTATGATAGTAAATGAAAACGTAAAGTAAAAAAAAAATTCCTCTGAGTTACAGATATAAAACAAAAAGGCTTCCTATTCTACAAAAACTTCAGTTGTTTGTATAGCTTAATCAGCATTTATCTCTATTTACTGTCACACAGACACACACACACACACACACACATATATATATGAGAAACAAATATGCGATTTAATTAAAAGTTGTGTTGAGAACTATTCATATAATGTCAACAAAGAATTTGTTAAAATTAAAAAGAAAAGTCGTGTAGATTGTGGTACTTTTAATGTGTTACGGCCGTATCTTGAGGCATGACATATGTAGCTGTCCAAAAATACCATCACGACAGGGTGTCCTGAGTTCAACAGGTTAATGTATAAGGACAGCGTGTCCAGGCAGGCCTATACTTAATACATTTTTCTAGTAAAATCTAGATGAAATTTGGTAAGTAAATGAAATTTAAAGAAATCCATTGTTAAATAACCGTAACAGCAGATTAAAATCACCGAGATTGTGAGACCCACCTACAAGTCCTGACGTTATAAGCCAAGTTTTGCGTGAGTAGAGAGCTGAATACTAAAATTTGTAAATAAACCATGAACTAACATTTATTTGCCCAATGTCCGTTCTGTTAATTGTCCGTTCGGTCTATTGTCCGTTCTGCCAAATGTCTGTCGGCTCTTTCACAAAAAGTCCTATCTAAGAACCTAACCTGGCTGTCCCCAACTACCACGACCTTATCACTGGGCAGGGTTTGACCAACTGCCCCTTCCTCTCCTGCCACCACCAAGGCCTGTCTCTTCTCTTCCTCGCCAGCTTCCTCCAACACTCCACACCCTGGTCAACTTTCCGGAGTCTGACCTTAGTCCCTTTGGAGACAACTACTCTCCACACCTGCTCCACCTGACCCTCCTTCGTAGGTGTCCTGCTAGGAAGGACAACCACCTGAAGCAGTTCAGTACTGAGGGCTTGGTTCTTCCCCTTTAAAACGTCCATCCCTCTCCACAACTGCTCCAGCTCCAGCTCCAACTGACGTAACAGATTGGCCGGGGGGTATTGAAGCTTTGTTCTTGGCGGGAGGTGTAAAGATTGTTTATGAGACCATAGCTTACAGCCCAGAGAAGAACAGCACATACACCCTCCAGCCAGTACACCTGTCACCTGGCCAGGCACACCCAGATTAGTGACGACATCTTCCGGCTGGAGGTCTCCAATATAAAGGCCTTGCAGCTCCTTCAACGAGGCATTAGGATTATTATTAGAACAGGGGAGGGGCCGACAGCTCCTTCCCAGAGACAAAATCAGACGGAGACAGACAGGGAGACAGAACTCAGAAGAAGACAGGGGTCACGCTCGTCACTAGTCGAGGTCGGGAGGGAGACATCCCTCCCCATTTCCAGCACCGAGTCCCCTGCTAGCATAGTCTCCCACAGGCGACAGAGTCCATCAGCACCTGCACAGCTTCCCCAGCCGCCGGACCTCCACCAAATCACACGTGAGACATTGTTAGAGCGATCCGTGGGGTGATTTGCTTACGGTGGGAAGTGTATCCATTTCAAGTTTGTGTCCGAGAGTCATTGTCTAGTAACGTCAATATAATGATCCATTTAACGTGTCCATGCCATTGAGTTAACTAATAAATAGCTGTACTTGAAAGTGGTGTTTAGAGTTATCCTACAATTAAATAAATTCTTACTATTATTGTACTTCTTTACTTTTCTAGTATTTCTACTTGAAGTTTCCCTTGTTACAGTGGTGTGGCAGAGATGGTGCCTAGGAGCTGGGTAGTGTGGTGTGGCAGAGATGGTGCCTAGGAGCTGGGTAGTGTGGTGTGGCAGAGATGGTGCCTAGGAGCTGGGTAGTGTGGTGTGGCAGAGATGGTGCCTAGGAGCTGGGTAGTGTGGTGTGGCAGAGATGGTGCCTAGGAGCTGGGTAGTGTGGTGTGGCAGAGATGGTGCTAGGAGCTGGGTAGTGTGGTGTGGCAGAGCTGGTGCCTAGGAGCTGGGTAGTGGGGTGTGGCAGAGATGGTGCCTAGGAGCTGGGTAGCGGGGTGTGGCAGAGATGGTGCCTAGGAGCTGGGTAGTGGGGTGTGGCAGAGATGGTGCCTAGGAGCTGGGTAGTGTGTTGTAATTGCAATTCTTATGTTATTAATTAAATGTTTTATATAATTTAAATTGCGACTGGGTAAAATTAAATTAAATTAAATTTTTGGAAGTCTAATTGAAAATTTTAATTGTAATTGACCTTAAATAATGTACATGGTCCAAGCCTCACACACACACACACACACACACACTTAAGAAACTGACCTGCGTACGACAATTTCCACGTCGACGTCGTCCACAGACTGCACAACAATGGCTTGTACCTCCTCGTAGGTGCGATCAACCAGGGAGACTCCGTTCCACTCAAGTAGAAGGTCACCTTCCTTAAGCACGCCGAGGGCCTCAGCCACGCCGCTTGGGTGAAGGCGAGCGACATAAGCTCCCAGACGTCCCTTGGTGCCGGGTATTTCCTTCCCGCCGACAACCTTCATACCCAGACCGTTACCTGCAGTATGTTATTCAGTGCTTACGAGACAGCGAATTTGGGCCATGTTGTACAATTATGTGCATGGTCGAAAAGAGGTTTCAAGGATTAACATATTTCAGTAGAGATTCACAGGTCCAGTAAAGAAATCCCTGCAGGATAATGTAAAAAATATTGTCATGACTTATATACTTATATTTCAGTTTAGAAAAGATTCAGGAAGTCAGTATACCAAACTAAGACCTGCTGGAAACAGGAAGCTAGAATGAGTAAATACAGTAATAAAGTGACTATTTCGCTTAAGGTTAGACCGGGAGTCAGACATAGCCACATTCAATCTCCAACAGTGTGTAATATACATTCTGATTAAATAATGAGAGAAGTTATAAATGACCTTGAAAGGAATCAAATTTAATTTGAAGATAACACGGCACTTGACGCAGATAACGAGGAGTCATTACAAAACTGTTTAATATTATTGGAAAAGGGTGAAAGATATGGGGTATAAAGACAAAAGTAGTGGTTCTGTTCAAATTTGAATTAAATACGGAGATAGAAATGATAAAAGTCAAGAGGTAACTTTAAAAAGTGGGAACATTTGTGTTTGAAAAGTAACGTAGCTTATGATGGTTGACGCTAAATAGGAGCTACATTTCAAATTAACAAAAAAAGTTGCTGAAAAGGAATGCCAGGTCAGTATTGTTGTATGGGTCGGAGGCGTGAACACTTCCAAGAGGCACCAGAAGGCGGTTGGAAGCATTTGACGTGTCGCGCTACAGGAGAATTATATACAGCATACTGCATACAAAGTCTCCAGTACACAGGAAGGTAGTGTGGCCGGAACTGATGTAGTTAATTATCTTATTAATAGCACTTGACAACTAATACCATGTCCATAGTGACTTTCTCTTACCTGAAATGCGCCTGTCCTTTGGGTCCCTAGTCAAGAGGTAACGTTTCACCTTCGAGGGCCGCGGCCCGCCCACCTGTGAACAAAACAATTTTGTATCAGACACATTCAGCTGATCACTTTCTTTTGGTACTCAACATTCTATTAAATCTTATTATGTATGTTTTTGTTTCTGTATAAACAAACATCACTTTCTATATTAAGGTATCCGAAATACTATGAGGCGTCTCGGCGTGGAACTCATCCACCGACGCCAGACATGAAGTTTTCTATGCAACACTCATTATTGGTTTATAGTCCAGTCGAATGCCAAATTAGACATATGAGTAGTGCTTAATGTGTTATTTCAAATAAGAGTGGGATATACGTCACCCAAATGTCTATAGGAGGTGAAAATTTAATATATATATATATATATATATATATATATATATATATATATATATATATATATATATATATATATATATATATATATATATATATATATATATATATAGGATAGTCAAAATGGTGAAGTGACGAGGATATTATTTTACAGTCGTTTTATTTGATCTGGTGATTAGCTGAAATACAATTCGAAATTTGATAAAAAATATGACACCTGAGCAAGTTAACATCTATTAACATTGTAATCACCTTTAGAGCGGTGCAATCGAACATTATAATTCGGTCAAACCTGTTGAATACAATTCGTTCTTAGTATTTCAAATAATAAATCTTATGTAGGTAATCAACTAATCATACATAAATGTCTAAGTGCTATATTTCCATGATGTCTCAACGATAAACAATACAAAGGACACAGTCTACCCAAGTACAAGTTGAACTTACGTGTTAAGGTCTCAAGTGAATAGGTTGGGTGGTCACCCTATGATGGTAAGAGCTGGAGTCTTAAAGCCACTCAGTTCATGCCCTGCCTGGCTAACACGTGTTGCAGCGTCAGGCCTTTTATGATACAAACAAGTCTCTCCCTACCGCTACACAACACCATCAGCACTTCTTGTCTCTGTAATTTCACTACTAAATACTCTACATACGGGCAGGCACGCCTAATAAACATTTCATGACTTACAACTTAACATAATGTTTGTTTAAGGGTTATCCTTCTAGAGTTATCCTACTGAGGTTATTCTAATCATTAATGCCTGAGGTAACAAAAATAATAACAGCTTCAGTTCACTAAAAGAGTCATCTTACATGGTTACACATTCTTTCTACCAATACAGTAAGGTCATAACTTCTGTAGCAGAATCCTGCACCATACTGTATGCTGAGATCAGTACATAGTAGCAAAGCTTTGGAATTTTTGTCTATAAGCCCTTCTGCATGCACATTTATTGAGTTCTTTACATGATTTTGAAAAATCTCCGGAAGGCTGAACCACAAGGGAACCCAATTTTATTAAGATCTTGATTCCCACCTTACGACCCAGGGTGAGGAAAGTTTTGTTGTGCAGCTAATAGTTTCCTTAAGACATAACCCCTGATATGTTCCTCTTTTGGGATACTCAACCAGTTCAGCGTGGTGAATTGGAGTTGTACTCTGGCTGATGAGTTGGAGTTGTACTCTAGCTGGTGAATTGGAGTTGTACTCTGGCTGATGAGTTGGAGTTGTACTCTGGCTGGTGAGTTGGAGTTGTACTCTAGCTGGTGAGTTGGAGTTGTACTCTGGCTGATGAGTTGGAGTTGTACTCTAGCTGGTGAGTTGGAGTTGTACTCTAGCTGGTGAATTGGAGTTGTACTCTGGCTGATGAGTTGGAGTTGTACTCTAGCTGGTGAGTTGGAGTTGTACTCTAGCTGGTGAATTGGAGTTTTACTCTAGCTGGTGAGTTAGGGATGTACTCTAGCTGGTGAGTTGGGGATGTACTCCAGCTGGTTTCCCTTAGTAAACATCTTTCTTCTGGCTCGGCCTACACACAAACACTCAATTATTCAGTTGTGGAAAAAAAAAACTCTTTCAATTTCAGGCATCGTTCCCTCAGGAAAAGTCACACGTGTCGTGGCCAAGCTAAGGAATACATCTGTAACAGATGGAAATAGTTTCCTGATATCAAATGCAGTCTCTTTCCCGTTCCAACTACTGGAAGAGGCAGTATCACATCCTGTGAACGTTAATGTACCACGAGAGTCCCTCATAAAGCACCTGTGAACGGTACTGCACCTCGTGACGTCCCTCATGATAACACCTGTGAATGTTACTGCACCACGTGAGGTCCCTCATGACAGCACCTGGGACCGTTACTGCACCACGTGAGGTCCTTCATGGCAACACATGTGAACGTTACTGTACCACATGAGGTCCCTCTTGACAGCACCTGCGAACGTTACTGCATCACGTGAGGTCCCTCTTGAGAACACCTGTGAACGATTTACTACACTACGTGATTGCTGTTCAACACTTCATCACATATGGCTAAAGTGGCATAACACAGATGGGCAAAAGCCTATCCCTGCAATCCACTGTAAACAAACAGGTTTATGTTCATTTTACGTTCATTTAACTTTATGTGATGAAAAATTTTCTTAACGATCGCCCACCCTTCCCTCATATCACTGTGTGTAAAAAATCAGTTTTGCCCATTGTATATTTTCAGCCTTTTGGTTGCTGTGCATTTTTTAACAAACCGTTAGTTGTTATTATTATTATTATTATTACTCACACCTTCTGGTGCTCTCAAACCTTGTCGTACTCTCACACCTTGTAATACACTCAAACCCTGTGGTACTCTCACACCATGTGGTAGTTCCACACTTTGTGGTACTCTCACACCTTGTTATACTCTCATACTTTGTAGTACTCTTACATCTTGTGGTACTCTCGCATCTTATAGTACTCTCGCACCACCTTTTAGTACTCTCAAAACCTTGTTATATTCTCACACTTTGCAGCACACTAGCACTTTGTAATACTTTCGCACCTTGTGGTACTCTAACTTCTAGTAGTACTCTCGCACCTCGTGATACTCTCAAACCTTGTTATATTCTCAAAAGTTGTCATACTCCCGTGCCTTGTAGTAATCTCGTACCCAATAATAATCTGGCTCCTTGTGGTATTCTCACTTCTTGAAGTACTTTCGCACCTTGTGGTACTCGCAATCCTTGTAAAACTACCACACCTTTTGGTACCCTCACACCTAGTGGTCCTCGTGCACCTTGTGTTTCTGATGCACTCTGCGGTCCTCGTGCACCGTGTGGTCCTCATGCACCTTGTGGTCCTTGTCCATCTTGTGGTCTTCGTGCAACTCGTGGTCCTCGTGCACCTTGTGGTCCTCGTGCACCTTGTGGTCCTCATGCACCTTGCAGTACTCGTGCACCTTGTGGTCCTCGTCCACTTTGTAATCCTCATGCACCTTGTGGTCCTCGTGCACTTTGTAATCCTCGTACACCTTGTGGTCTTCGTGCACCGTGTGATCATCATGCACCTTGTGGTCTTCGTCCACCTTGTGGCCCTAGTGCACTTTGTGATCCTCATGCACCTTGTGATTCTCATGTAACTTGTGGTCATCATGCACAGTGTGGTCCTCGTGCACCTTTTGGTCCTTGTGCACCTTGTGGTCCTCGTGCACCTTTTGGTCCTTGTGCACCTTGTGGTCCTCGTGCACCTTGTTGTCATTATGTACCTTTTGGCCCTCATGCCCCTTGTGGTCCTCGTGCATCTAGTGGTCCTCATGTACCTTGTGGTCCTCGTGCACCTTGTGGTCCTCATGCACCTTGTGATCCTCGTGCACGTAGTGGTCCTCATATAACTTGTGGTCCTCTTGCCCCTTGTGGTTCTCATACACCTAGTGGCACTCTTGCACATTCCGGTCCTCTGGTACCTTGTTGTCATTATGTTCCTTGGGGTCCTCATGCACCTTGTGGTCTTCGTGCACTGTGTGGTCCTCGTGCACGTTATGGTCTTCGTGCACCGCGTGGTCCTCGTGCACCTTGTGGTCTTCGTGCTCCGTGTAGTCCTCGTGCACCTTGTTGTCATCATGCACCTTGTGGTTTTAGTACACCGTGTGGTCTTCGTGCACCTTGTTGTCATCATGCACCTTGTGGTCTTAGTACACCTTGTGGTCCTCGTGCACCTTGTTGTCACCATGAATCAATAGACTGAGTTATCCCGGACCAACCATCAACTGGTTAGGAACTATGGGGTCTGTATGCCAGAACAACTGCAGGCGGTAATAGAAAAGGAGGGTGGCTGGACGAGGGTTTAAAACTACCTTACGTTTGTTAGAAAAAATCTTTCCTGATCATTTTCCTATTTTAAACTTGAATCGTCTCCTCTGTTTAATATGTTGTATTAAAGATGTTTTGTGTGAAATAATTTATATTTATTTGATTATCACAATTTCATTAACTGAAGGAGTATCCAAGCTGCTGTCAGGTACTACAGTATATATTTTCTTTCGTAATGTGTTATCTAATTGTCTAACAGTTGCATCCATGGACAAGGGAGGCTAAGGCCACTTGGGGTGCATGTTTGATGTGTGGTGGGAAGGCAGGCGAGAAGGTGTTGTGAGAAAGAAGTCCGCTACTAATTCATACCGTTATTGAATAACATAATATTGACATTTTACGTTTTTTAATTTTTAATTAGTAAAGGAAGAAAATATTGTAAAAGTGTGGAATGGGGGCGTGTGGGGGGGGGGGGAGGGAACTAGCCATGTTACCCACATGGACGACAGTAGACTGCCAAAGCAGCTACTTTACATTCATCTAGCGAATAGTAAACGTAACGCTGGCGAACAACTGAAAAGGTATAAGGTTAGTCTTAAGACAAACCTGAAAAAGTGCCAAATCGACTCCCTTGCCTGAGAGACGATTACTCTACACCGTAACGAGAAGGTGTCATTACTTTCGAGTTACCCCGACTGCATACCAAGGCAGACAAGCGCCAACGTCAGAAAGACGCTGTTACTGCCCATCCCGCACTAGACGTAGCCCTCCACACGTGCAACATCTGTGGACGACCCTGCCAGTCCCGCATCGGCCTCTCGGGTCACCTTAGAGCTCACCAACGAAGGTGACATCCTTAATAACTCAGCAAAGTAGTAGTAGTAGTACATTGCACAACATCAAGATCAAG